GAAGGGCCGTTTCGAGAATTCGCGGGCGAAGCGGGGTCGCGGGCAACCAGCGAGCTAACCGCGAAATACCGCGTAGCATATTAGATTGACTAGGAGACATATTGGTCCATTTCCCCAAGTTAACTGGTGGCCTTGCCTGAACCCCTATTTGTTTTAATATAAATTCCTCCCTCATATTAATAGATTCCAAGGCTGGAAAATTAGCGTTATCCAACCTAATTTGTGTGTAAACACTAGTCTGAACTGGAGCATTCCCATTATTCATATTAGCTAACATATCTTTAGCCTCCCAGAAGCCTTTTTCTTTGTTTAAGGAAGACAGAAATCCTTTATGGATACCTGGGAAGATGGCCCAGGTAGTGTGAAATTCTCGCTTCCGGCGCCCCCTTAGTGGGGACGGTTTTCACGCATACTCACTAAAACTGTCTCCCGCCCTCGCCCCCGAGGATGCGAAGGGTGGCGGTATCCCGACGAGTTTCATCATCAGCGGGACATGATCCACTCGCACTAGGCCGTCGCTTGCGTTCGTTGAAAAAGAGGAAAGGAGACTGAACCCCGTCTTCCGCGTGTGCTCTGCATGCAGAGAGAGGATGCCCTTACGCGGTGGCTCTTGGCCCAGGTGGTTTTATCAAGTTCCTCGGGGAAGTCTTTGCGCGAGCGCTCCGACTTCCAGCTTCATCCTGTAACACCACCCGCTGCCGCTTTCCACCGCGTCCGAACATACGGTCTTAAAACCGCGACCTCTCCCCACCACATCACACCTACTAAATTGCTAATACTCGATATCGCGTGTATGTTAGCCTAATCCCCCCTCCCCTCAAAAAATTCCCGTAACTTTACGCAACTATCTGGGGTCTCTATATTCCTTGCTGAATCGACAATTGATCAGAAGGATGGCTGATACAGTTTGACCTTTCTCCCTCCTCTCCCCCGTTCCGTCGGTCACCGTTTTGAGCCCCCTAATGGCGCTATGATCAGGCTGACACCGGTTTCCTCCCTTGCAGGTTTGAGTCGTTCGATCGGTCGTGTCTATGTCACTCCGCCTCTTCCACTCTTGCTCTTCCTCCTCTCCCTCTCGCTGTCTTCTCGCATCTTCCCCTCCTCTTGCCGTTTGAAGAGCGCGCCATGCCTCCACTGCAGTGATGAGATATGGGCCGGGTTTTTTTCGCGCATGCGCGAGAAATGCAGGAGCGTATGCAGCGTATGTATTTAGTGGTGCCACTAGATGGCTTTATTATATATTTTGCTTACAGTTATTATAGTACCTTTCCTTTCCATCTGCTCCTCAAATATGAAAATATGTACATAATGTAACCTTATTGCAATCTATACATTCATATTTCACAACCAAATTATAAAAATTTTTGAAAAATAATGAGGGGTGATTAAGGTAGCCCATTTTATTGAAACTTATACTTCACTGAGACTAAAATTGCCGCGCATGTGCGAAAAAACCCGGCCCATATCTCATCACTGCTCCACCGTCTTGCTTGCTGCCATATCTCATCGCTGCTCCACCGTCTTGCTTGCTGCTGCATCCTTTCGCTTCATCCTTTAGGGCCGCTCTCCAAGTGCTTGCAGCGTTCCTTCCTCTGCCATGCTGGATATTCTCAATGCGGCCCCTTTGCTCTACCATCGTTGTGACTTAAGCGTTTCCAGGGTGCTGTAATATGTGCGCGACTTTTCCGCC